TATGTGAAAAGGCAGGAATTGCTGCCCGTAAGATCTCCTAGGTATATGTCTAACTCCTGCCAGGAAGTGTTCAGTTTGCTCCATGGCATGTGTGATTTACTTCGCATCGAAGTCCAAGCCACCAGGCCCGGACGCATCAGGGTTACCACCTGAAGACCTGCTGGGTCGTCTCCACTAGACTAGACCACCTCCATAAACTCGAGACCTGCCGGAGACCAGGCGTCCGGGTCCGGCGTCTACCACCACCGCCGGTTGAAACCACCGTCTGCCGGTTCATCGATCTGCGTGAGGTTCATCCCACAAAAAGGCCGGGTGAGGTGAAGAAGGACCGCCCCCCAAAAGCTGCTTTACGGCCCGGTTTTTTCAACCTTGGGGGGGGGGGGGGGTCCTGGTGAATGTCTCATCTTCGGCACGGAGAGCGGTCCGCGAGCGGTCCTGCACCGGCAGGAAGATGGGGGAATCGCCCCCCCCCCTGCACGGCCTGGGCATACTGGTCCGGGATGAGCTGTGCGATCAGGGGAGCCTCTGCAGCTGTGCGGTCGGGACCAGGTCCGAGGGTCCTTGAAGGCCTCTTCGCGAGGTCCGAGGGTCATGAGTCATGTGTGGAGATTCTTTGAAGTTGGCAACTTCATCGCGCCATACCAATACGATCTGCTGCATTGTTTTGGATCTCTATACAAGTTGAAGTTCGTCAAAACATCTTGCCCAAACCCTTACATGCCCAAACGCCCAAGTGGCCCCCCTCACGCCTGCGGCGGGCCTACACCTATGCTTGGGCGCGCTTGGCTCGCCGCGGTCGGGCCTCGGGGATGAGTTGCCATGTATCTCCGATGGACGGCGGTGGGTTGCCGGCCATGCAGGCTGCCGTAGGCGTGGAATCCTCTCAGATTTTGGGCGGATTTGAGAAGTATCTCCCTGGAAGTCGTGGCCCACCATTGTTTTAATAGCCGGGTCATCCCGAACCACCGAGCTGTTTTACTAAGGGTCTTACACTCCAAAACCAGATCAACCATGTTAAAAATGGTCGACTTGACTTTCAGGGGATCTGGAATTCTTGCACGAAGCGGAATCACGTGGACTTCGGACTATAAATGGATCCAAGGGTGCCAAACTCTCTGCCGAACGTGGCTCAAATGGATGAATTTATATTGGCAGGGGTCGCACCCTCCATAGGGGTCCGGGCCCTCAAAACCCTATGTGTTGCTTCGGGTCCGGATTCTTAAGGTCTGCAAAATGTCTGGCTTTTCCGTTGAGGCCAGTTCAGACATGGAAGATTTGGGACATCGACGTCCCAGCCCCAGACTCCGGACCAAATCTCACCTCAAACGCGTGATTCGCCACATCGCATCGGCCCCCCCTATGGCTCGCGGTCTCCGCACCTTGATGCCCTTGGTCTCCTCGTTCTGCGTGGCGGGTGGCCCGACCGATTCTGATCCAAGGCGCTGGTTTCGCGCACCACGTGCAGCAAGAAGGTGAGGACCAAGCGACCCTCCGAATCACGGAGAGAGATCCAAAAGTGGCCCACCTCTCACGGCGTCCCGAGAATCGGACGGGAACGATGGTGGTGGATCCCAAGAGAACTAAGAACCCCTCAAAATGTTATACCCTGTTTTGTTGACTTCCTCAAAACGATACGACTGCCTATGGGATTCTACGGGTTTTCTATGGTTTTCTACGGGCGTTCTACGGTTTTTATACGGGTTCGAAACTATAGTGCTTTTGGAAACACGATGTTTTCGACAGAAACACTAAGTTTTTAGTCAAGTGGAGCTAAAACACAATGTTTTCCATCAGATACGACCAATTCGTAGGTTTGGGGTTCCATAGGTAAGAACGAACAGATTCCTCTATGTTCGGGATGTCAACCTAGCATGATTTGCGTTGGGAAGGTGCCAGCTCAGCAGCCCATGCCCATCTCGTTCGACCATGTTCGGGTGGCGTTTTTGACCCTCTTCGGCTCCATGACGGCCCAACCGAACGATGCCCGGACGCAGCCATGCACATCCTAGGGTGACTTGGCTTGCGCTGGACATGGGGAGAGACATCATATCCCAAGCACCATTGGCCCGAATTGGTCTATACCAGCACCCGAACTCGGCCAGGCTGTGAGTTGAGGGTTGGACCCTCTCTCAGGTCTCGGTTTCGCATGGCCGAGAAGAAAACAGGAGACAACCCCGACCGGACGAGCTGTCACGGGAGTCAGTCGAAACACGAGGGAGACGGAAGACTTCGGCTCAGTTTTCCTCAGACCCCCTCTTGACCCACGAACATGAAGAACACAGGCTCCCTGACGGCCAAAAGTGACTTAAGGCCGTCTCTGAATCGAATGCGCCGCGTTCGCCGCGGCGTTCGTCGCGGCGGTGCAGACCTCGGGTGGCACTCCAGTAAAGCTCTGAGATTGAAAGGTCAGCCTCAAATGGCCCGGACGGAGCGGACTTGTCGGGACGCGGCACCTGGACTCTGGTCGTCCTCTGAGGGGACGAGGATGGACGAGGGGATGGGATGGCGACAACGCGACAGGAGTCCTGCAGGAATCGTCTGACGGTGCAAGGGTCCATCTTTCAGCATCTTCACTGCTTTGAGCTCCATTAAGCCTAGAAGCCCAATTTCTAAGCCCCTTTTCCCTTCATGTGAGACCATGCCATATACATCAGCATTGCATCAACGGCGCAAAAAAAAAAGAAACGGGTCAAAACCAGGCCGCCAGGAGGGTAAGGCATCGTTATCCATGGAAGCGCTCAGAGTATTCAACATCTCCATGGCCGGATGGATTCCAGGTATCCTCGGTTCTGATGTCGACAGTGTCGCAGAATCAAGCAGACCCAAGCAGACCCGGTGGCAGACCTTCACAGGGCGGCTTTGCAGGTCCAAGAAGACCTCTTTTTACCAGGACCTTCCTTTTTTTCGGTGTCTATAGCCTCGTAACGAGGGGGTGTCCTCCTAGCCTCCACCGGGCTGGGAAGGTGCTGGTGGGACCTGATGGGACCTACCATATTGATAGGCTCGAAGATCCGAAGAACCCGTGTTTTTACCGGAAGGGCCAAACCAGGTCGACCGAACTCGACCTGATATCAGGGTAGACCCTCGATTTCGGCTTCCCGGGTAGCCATGTCTGCCGAACTGGGCTGCTTTGATGGGCAGCATGGGTGGGGGAAGAGCCAGGTAGTACATAACACCGGGGCCAGAGGAGAATGCCCAGGCATGCGAGCTCGGTGGACTTCAGTGGACATCGATTTGTCCGCTGTCCAGGACACCTCCGGGAGTTTCGAACCCTTTCTTGGGGGGAGAATGAAGGAGTTCGAAGCCAAAGGGCTCACACACACCACCACCAGGAGTTCCATCTCGAGTGAGGGGGGGTGAAGTTTGATGGATTTTGGGGGGGGGACCCCTCTAGGGGCCGTGGGATGTGATGTTCGGCCCCCTCAGTTCTTCCAGGCAATCCTCACTCCTGGCCTCCCCTCCCTTCCATCGGCGAAGGAAATAGCTCCTCCTCACTTGGTCAAGAACAAAGAAACTATAGAAGTCCAGTTCAACTCCACGTTTGATACACTTTAATACAACTCGTGAATAGTATTCAGGACATTCCCGAACTCCATTCCTCCTGAGACCGGTTCAGCTTCGAGAGAAAAAACATGGCCAACATTGGCCAACCATCTCCAACCATTTCTCCATGGCTTCCGAGGATCTTCTGGACAAAGCGCTTCCCCACCTGAGAAAGCGAAGCCGCGACCGATGGTCGGTGTGTGTGTGTGTGTGTGTGTGCGACCACCGCGGTGGGCTCCGGCGAAGGGGTGCGTTGGCCCCACCGGGACCTGGACCATAAGCCCGGTGGTGGTTGGACACCCCGAATCACCCCCTTGGAGGCGACTAGTTACAACAGCTCAAACGGAAGGTCCATGAAGGTCCTAGTACTAGTAATACACTGGGGGGCGGTTGACCTGGAATCAATGTAAGATGATGTAAGTATGCCAATGCCATGGATGGTCTGGGCTTGATTTGAACCATCTTTGACTCCCCCACTTCGAAACGACATCTGCTACACCTAAAGCCAGCCGTCCACACCCTCGCTCTTTCGCAGGGTACCTCAGCTTCCCGGGCCAAGTCAGACCTTTCAGAGATCAGCCCCAGCACCTTCCACTGGACACCCCCAATCACCTACGTCGGTCCACGAAGGGTCCGGCACCAGGCATCCACCATTGAGTGGTTGTGACATGTGGAGGAAGGGCCCTTAATTCCCAAACCCTCCGGAGACGCAGTGAGCGTACTGGTACCTGGATCTTGAAACACTTCTTGAAACACTGCGAAGTATGTTGCTCCCTGTTCATGCCCTGCTTTGAGAGGAAGGGTTCTTTTGTTTTGCTAGTTGGAAGATCTTAAATTGGTATGTCAGCTGTGTCTACTCAGGGGTCACTGCATGTACCACGGATTGTCTGCTTTCAATGTGTGTTAGATCAGCGAAAGTGTACGGAAGTTGTAGACATGCCTCTTTTCCAACACGACCTCCAACCCACCGGGCCACAAAAGAAAACAAAGGCGTCCTGGGAGTGGAGATCCCTGTTTCCACTATTCAGGAGCCCAAACGAACGGTGACACCCGAGAAAAAAGGAACGTCCTTGGCTGAAGAGCCGGGCAAAAGCTCGTCAAACTGGATCTTTGTGCCATGCACATCTTGTTGACATCCCTCATACTTCCGGAGTCGAAGTCACCCCCCGACTTCATGCTTGTTTCAGTGTCTCCACCGCCCGTTTCTGCTCCCAGTGGCGGGGACCACCACGTCCGGCCCTCGAAAGGCCGCCACCGCGTGCTGGTCGCGGCTGCTGGGGCCGCGGTCGCCGTCGGTGGCATGGAGCCCCAAACTGGTGGACATCGCTCCGTGCGCATTACCTTGAGTCGAACCGACCCAGAGGCCGTCTGAGTTGTTCAAAGCATGTGTTCCGGGTGCCTATCACGTCGCTCCCTAGGCCAGCCGGCGGTGGCTTTGGGCTGCAGATCATGAACCGACCCTCCTGCTGTTTTTTATTTGAAAAGGGATCAAAGGATGTCAAAGGTAGGCCATGTATTCCAGCCCCATGGGTCATGTCTAGGATTCAGACGTTGTTGCAACAACCCCATGGGTCGTGTCTAATTGGTGAGGTCCCACCCCCATGGATTCCGATAAATGTTGTGAATTCCAAATCGCAGGGGTGATGCATGATGTCCTTCTTCGCGAGTTTACCTGTTCGCATGGGGCCGGGTGTGGTGGTCGTTTTCGGCACCGGAGCCACGGCGACGGTGCCTCGTCGTGATTTGACACGTCCCACCGTCATGCCGTTGGCTGATGAGTTCCGTCATCCCTTGACGAAGGGAGGTCAGAGTCCCGGATCCTGCTTTTGGGAGGTGCTTTTGGGATATATTGGGTTCTTTTGCTGACCTACAGAGGTTAAGTGACCTTATAGGACCCTACAGGGGTACCTATAGGATAGTCTATGGGTTCTTCAACCTCTGCTGGGAACTATGCTGAACATTGCTGAACTTCGGGAAGCTTTCAGCCCTTCACTTGCGAAGAATAATCTGTCTTTAAGGGGTCTGTTTCCACGATTCAAGTCCGAGTATCATCAGTTCCGACTTCGGCGTAGTCGTCATGGACTACACCCAAAGCTGCCACGAGGGTGGCCCATTCTTTAAGCACCACAAGATAAATTGAGCCTGAAGTTTCAGAAGCACAAAGATCCGACCGCCACGAACCACATGCCCACTTTTAGGCAAGTTGCTGGCATGGAGAGAGATCTGCAAGTCCTATCCGATCAAAACGGATTTCCCGTCGTCCGTTCAACGTTTCAATTGGTTGATCTGGTTCTGATTGACGTTTAAAATCCTTAGTCCCCAGCACGCGAAGTCTGGACCCTCCGTGATAAGGAACCGGGGCCGTTTTCCCGTATCCGGACTGGAGGGGTCCGGACCCGAACGAATTCCTACGGGTTTTACGGATCGGTCCGCCTGTTTTCACGGAGCCTCTGGGTCAAACAGCTCGCTGCGAACGATTCCAACACCCAAACACGCCATGGGACTGGCATATTTGCCGATCAGTTGGGGTTTTAGGGGTCGTATGCAAATATGCCAGTCCCATTAGTCGTGTCTGGGACATCTTCCAACCAAACACTGGGGCGGAGCCTCGTCTGGGCATCGCCATGACTTCCACTCGGCCCCCCGAGCGGACTCGATCAACGGACCGCTAAGGAACGACGACATCGACCTGGAGTCGACCCGTTCGTAGCTCGGACAATGGGGTACCAGCACCGACCCTGCCAGGTCACCGTTCTTGAAACCTGTTAGGGCCCTGCACAACCCTCCATGGAAAGGAGACCTGGCAGGGGTTCGGCGCTGGAGACCTGTCGTACCTGGCTCCCAGACGCGACCCCTCACGGTCCGACCGGTGCCGAACCAAACCATTGGGATTGGTGAGGTTAGGTCCGGACGCCATCCATATGAGGGTACGGCCCCGGTCCCTGAACGGAGGGTCCAGGGTCGCGTCACTGGGCTGGATTGTTTGATGGGGTCAGACGTGCCACTGTTTCGAAGGTACGAACGAAGTCGGGTCCGGAAGGTCGTTGGACGTTGACCGATCCGAAAAGAGGGAAAGCGCCCAACACCGCGCCCAACGACCTTTCAACTCGACCCCTGCGCCCAACACGTACAGACTCCGCGACTTCACACGTGCACCAGCTGCAAGGACCTCCAGCTGTGGAGACCTTTTTCCAGAAAGTACATCTGGCCCCCTGAAAATTGGGCCTCGAGTCTTGTGAAACGTGGGGTGCCACCACTCCGGAAAAAGGTCAAAGGTTCCGGCAGTCACAAGACGGGGTGCTTAATGAAGGCTAGGGAAATACCACCCCTTTGTGACTCCTGGTTATCCACTTTTCCTGGGGCTATGTCTGTCTAACACTGTGCCCGCAGGCGACGAAACACGTCAGTCCTCTTCATAGGGAGGTTTTCCTCGGAAGGTCCTCACACGTGGCATGCGCCAATGTTCGCAGCGGTGCTGTGCTGAGAGTCACGCAAGGAACGACCTAAAATCTGGCATGGCTTTATGGTGGTCTTTCCGCGTCCGGCCCACGCGGACCCCGAAATGGACTCAAAAATACTCAAGCCTTCCAAAACCACTAAAACAAATGGTTCACCTGGTTTTCTAGTGTAAAATCCTGAGTAAAACAACTGGTTGTCAGGCAATTAAATCAATGGTGGGCTCGGAATCCTAAGGTATAGTCTAGTTGGTACTTCTTCCAGAGAGTCGAGGTGACTCAGCTGACACAAAGAGGACCGAATGGTCTCAACGGCTGCCTTCATGTAGATGGTTGATATTTCAATCCCCTCAGGCCTCAAGAGGTTGTTCAATCCACGTCTGAGGGTGGTTTTGTTAATCAAGAGTCTAGAAGTCCAGTTCGACTATATGTTGACCGACTGAAGTAAAGGAAACTCCTGAAATCGGGTCTCCTCAAACCATTCTTTCTATAGGAAAGAGTCTAATGCCTGGATTATGGGCGTTTGGAGGCAGCTGCAAGGACTTCCAGCTGTGGAGACCTTTTTCCAGAAAGTAATCTGGCATCCTGAAAATTGAACTACCCAGGCGCGACCCTGGACCCTTTAAGTAGGGGCCGTACCCTCATATGGAGGGGTCCGGACCCGAACCAATCCCAATGGTTTTGAGGGACCAAGGACTGTTTGGAGCGTCTGGGTAAGAGCACAACAAGCAGAACCCACGGAGACACCTTCCCCCAAGCCCACTAAATGACACAATTACACTATGCTATTGTACCAGGACACCCTAAGGGGTGTCTATTTATGGCCTGTCCATTAACCACCCCTTGGGTGGTGCTGGTACGGCATATATTCATGGATCTCCGCACCCTAATGTGGACCCTGGATTTATAAACGCCCCTAGAATAATGACTGTTTTTTCCTGCACAGATTTATAAAGGCCCCCAGAATAATGTCTTTTTCTTTTTGGGAGGGGTAGTTGTAGTGGGATATGTTTTATTGTTGTAGTTTTCTATTTCCCTTTTGATTTGCTTTACTCACCCTCTATCCCTTATTTACTTTTCCTAAGCTCTTTAGTTTTGAAGCTTTCCAAAAG